ACTTCAAGTGAAGAAGATATGCTTCTAAATTGATGTATCATCTTATGGTGAATTAATTCTATGCTTACCTATATTCATACACTAAAGAAAATGTCTCGATTTATTAAATTATGGCATAATAAGATGAATAAATACAATTATCAAGATAGATGTAATCAATCAAACTGAAAAAAAAAAAAAAAATTCAAATTATATAATTAGTATGAAACACAAAGCGGATAAAAATAAAAAGTGAATTTTAAGTTTTACCCTAAAAATTCTAATGATAGTAATTAGTAAAAATTAGTTTGGAATTGTTGTAGCTTTCAGTTTGATTAGTTTTTCTCTAACTAAACACACACTAAGAATATGGATTTTATCAAGCATTCCAATTGGATTTTCCAGATTATGGTAATAAATATGAATGCTGCAGTATATTTGATTTTTTTGTTTTCTGAAAGCTGTTGTATAAAACATTCATGGTTAGTGAAACATGTAATAAATCGAGTGCAGGTTCAGGACCATCCCCAAACTTGTCCCGCACTCGAGAACAGGTATTTTTTTTGGACCCGCACCTGCCGGGGCCCCAACGGGGCAGGTCAAACTCCTATCCCTAGTTTCTATAAAGATTGGCCTTGTCTCAGTCCTGGTAAACAACCCCCTCAACTAATTCTTCTCTTTTTTCGTTTTTTGTTGGTTCGTTATTTCTATGACCAAATAATAACAACTTTTTTATTTGTCTAAAATTTTTCCACTTATAAAGTTGTGGTCCTAAAATAAATAAATAAAACTGAATAATGTCATAAATCTTAGTCTTATATATTTAGTTTCGAATCACAATAATACTTTATTTTATGATAAATATAGTAAAATTGTATTCGCTTTTAATATATTACCCAAAGCAAATGAGCGGACCAATTTTCATTAAAAGTGGAATTATTAATATTTTCTAAAAATCATAAATTTAATTATAGGGTATGAATTTGATAGTAAAATTTGATTAGCATTGATTTTCACGAATGATAAGTATATTATTTCAGTCCATTAGTACTTTATAAGAGATTTATTACAACTATATGATATGTATCATTAATATGATAACATTAAAGTGTTGATTTATTCGAGTATGAATGAAACTATTGACCGTATAATTAACTAAAATAATTTCAATTACAAATCTTATTTGGATTTATGAAAGACTAAAAGCCCAATACAGAAGGACTGATTTGGATTCCAATCCCTCTAGCCCATCAAACTCAGATGTACAAATAGAAATGCCAATTCAGCAAACCTGCAAATGGTGGATATGGGAATCCCATATCTTCCTCTTCCACAAAATACCCCTTTCACAAAAGGCCAGAAGCATGTCACAACGTACAAACTACACATCAACTCCCCTAGCCCTGAACCTTGCAAACCATGACCCGCTTGTGGTTGCAGCCCCAGTAAACTTGTAGCTACCGCAGTCAACTGCACCATTAAAATTGTTGTGCCTGGTACCAACATGGGGGACTCATCGAATGTAAATCCATTGTTATCTCTGTCATTTCCATCAGTAGAAGTAGATTGGTCTTTCTTGGTAACTTCAAATACTGTGTCTGAAAAGCCGAAGGGCTTGAGTATGACACTTGAAAATGCAAATAACCATGCACTAGTTGTGGTTATTCTTGCCATTCTTTGGCTAGTCCACCATGAACGGAGTGAGTAGCCTGTTTGAAGGTATTCTGATAGAGTATGCAGGTTGTAAGTCACAAAAATTGAAACAGGAATGTATATGCCCGGTTCCTGAAAGACACATTTTAAGCAGTTAGAATTACATATATAATTAAAAGCTGCATTGTTGTTCAGATGTATATAGCTTTGCTTGCTAACCTTGGGCAAGAAATTGGAATTGGTGATGATGCAATAGGCCGGTAGAGCTACATAACACACCTCAGGAATAGAGCGTAAGCCCCAAATGGGGACCCACAAATAACCAAAGCACTGCCTGAACTGGAGCTTGCCAGAGAAGGTAGCGAATACCCGGGGTTGTGTTTGCTGAATAATATTTCAAGTAGGCCAGTCGCCCATCTCTTTTGTTGGGTCATTGAAGCCGGTCCGCATGATGGTGCACATCCTAGAAAGGCTGGTATGTTGGGTGAGCAATAGCCAGATCTCCAGCCTCGTTTATGGATCATTAACCCTGTAAGGACATCTTCATTTTTGGACCCATATAGCCATCCCATCTGAAAGTAAAGCAGCCAAAATATGAGGATAAGACATAAAGAGTCTAAAATTACAACATATACGTCAGTGAGTACCCAAAAGAAAGATCTCAATTGCTGCTTAAATGATTGTTTGCAACTAACCTTTTTTCCCCAATTAGTTCCATTCTCATAGGCACAACCAGCAACTTGGAAAGCCGCAACAACAGAATTTGAAAGGTCGCTTGGACTATATATCTTTCCTTGCAGGGCATGAGCAACTGACTTGGTGAACTCCTTCGAATTTCCAAATCCTTTTAGTAGTTCATCGTCTGCTAATTTCCCTGCACAGATTGAAATGACTGTCATCTTAACTCTAAATAACTTCACCATTATATCTTTAAAAAACGTGAACAGAGATCATCCTTATATGTATAAAAATGCGTGTGTGTGTGTGTGTGTGTTTGAAACAAATAATTCTAGATGTACAATTCAGTGTGATGTTAATTTGATATGCTTTACGAAAATGAAGAATCATGGTCTTGACTGTCGATGTGAGTACCAGTCACTGAAGTAAGATCTTTTCCTTCGTTTTCTAAGTCATCCGGCTGTAGCCCATAGATCACTTTACGCCTATGAAAACATCCAGTTCCCTCATAGATTGGTCCTTGAATTCCCACAACTCCTTTAATCATATACTATAACATAAGCATGCAAAACGTGTTGATTAATCAACCAATTAACTACTTAAGTAACCATAGTGACGAAACAAATCAAACACTTGTAAACTTAAGAAAATCCTACTTCATTGGAAATTAATACTTCATCTGCAGGTCCATCGTAGAATAGCTGTGGAAATTGAACAAATCCGCATTCTCTTTCATTCTTGGAACCAAGAAGCAGACACATTGCTTCACGAACAAGAAGTGGGTTGCTGGCAAACATGTCGCAGTCCACATTAAGCATAAACGGAGTATTTGTCATCAACCCGGAAACCCTAGTCTGTTTAATTATAAAAAGCAACTGATAAAGAGTCTTTAAATAGCTAGATAATTCATAAATTGATGATGGTTCAGTTGGAATGCATAGAGTATTACTGTATTAGAAACATCGCTCTTACCAGTACATTCATTGCTTCAGCTTTGTAATTATGCATATGCTGAGGCCGCTTCTCTCTGGATATGTAAACTAAATGCGGTATTCCATCTGAGGAGTGATCCTTGTTCTCCCGAAAAACCTACAGAAAGAACAATCTAATTAAAATTTTTGATAGTTTTTTAAAGCTTCATCGTTAATCGAAGTAATCCATCGTTAATCGTTAAAATTTAATTCTGATAAATGATGATTAAGTGCTTTCTTTTGACAGAAATCATCTACCTTAACTATAATGGAATGGTTTCGGCATTCCATATTAGAGAAAACAGCCAACTCGCCGGTTAGATCACTGCTGGGAAACGACTTACGAGCTGCAGCTTCTATTTTTCGGCTAAGCTCGTCATATTCGTCCTGTAAAATGAAAATGAAATAAGAATTAAAATAAATAAATTCATTTTTAAGACTGAAAAACCGATTAACCAAAAAGGTTAAGCTGTGTGCCTGTGTTATAGTAAGAATCAACATTCAGAAGTAATGTTACAGAATCAACCTTTGTTCATGCTTGATTTTGACACCAACTAATAGCACGTGAGAAATGCTAAGCGGGCTCAGAAGTCACATATGATTATGGAAGTATTTAATTGAATACAAGGTGAAGAGCAATGTTTAAAGTAGTTCGGATGCTCATAAGGTGAATTATACGTCCACTGATATTGTATTAATGAGTGAAATCAGGTCGCGTTCAATGAGCTAAATTACAGTTTAGAGAATACGAGAGAGAGAGAGAGAGAGAGAGAGAGAGAGAGAGAGAGAGAGAGAGAGAGAGAGAGAGAGAGAGAGAGAATGCTATTCCAGGGTGAAATTAGCCAATCCCACAAATGGGAGAGAAATGCCCTATTTATAGTGGGATAAATTAAGGTAATAATTATTAAATCTGCCAGTAGGGTGGATGCCGTGCAAATCCTTCTCTGTATCCCATTGCTCACCTACTCGAGTGATTTCCTCGACTTATGTAGGAATTAGACATATGGACCTTTTTCCAACCATTCGCCAACCTAGCATACACTCACTATACTGGTAGGAGCATGCCACTCACGTTATCACGCGACGTGGCTACATCTGAGCGGTTGCAGAACTGTCTTAAGCTCTGACTGCCCATGCTGACTAATGTTGGAAAAGTAACCTGCCCGGCCCGCGACGGGTTACTGATTTTGGCGGATCGATCCTAACCTGCCCGTCAACAAAGGCAGGTCGGGTTAGGCCTGTCATTTTTTGGGGATTGGCTGGCCCAGCCCGACCCGTCAACCCTCGGGTTAGGTTGCGGGTAGGCGGGTTAACCCCCTTTATTTTTTTTTTTTTGTTTTGCTTAGTTAACTTTTCAAATGAATAATTAACTATTTATAAATGAATAAATGTAATTGGTTTTAGTTAACTTTCTATATATCAATAATTTAATTTAATTATTATTATTATTTTTTTTGTCTACCCAACTTCAGCTTTAACCGGTTAGAATATTTACAATTGTGTAACATTTAATATAGCCAACCTACGTATGGAGAAATGTTCCAGTCAAGATAATAGATTCTGTTTTTTCAAAATTTTCATATTCATAGTAGAAAACACAATAGTTTTCACGACTATATCAAATAACGGGTTATTAGATACTTATTTTAAAAATTAAGAGAAAAAAAAAAATACACAATTTTCTTTTGTATCAATAAAAGAATACTTTTTTATTACTCAAATGAAAGTTTTTAAAGTATGTCAGACACATATCAAATTTGTATTTTTTTTTTTTATTTCTCTTGTGATAGATTAATGATGGAATAATGAGAAACGGGAAGTTGAAAAACTTACACAATCTGATACATATTCCAGAGAACAGAGTAGGAGTGGTAACCTTTGGTTGGGTCAAACCAAAGGTAAATCCTTTGTTCTCTGTTACCCTGACCCCCGGTGAAGACATTTGTCTGCAAAATGTATGGCTGGCCGGTTCTGTTTCCCAAGAACTCAAAATCTATTTCATCATGCTCTGAGTTTTGAGAAGAAAGCTGCGATTGATGATACACAACACAAGATTAATATAAACCATAAATGCTTTGTTTAAAAGAAGATAAAATAAAACAAAAACAAAACTTACATAANCCGTATTCCATCGTCCAAAACCCCTCTCATTCCCGACTCATTTGCCCCTCCAATCGCCGGCACCGTTAGACTTAGGGTTTTGATATTCTTCACCGGATTCTGGTCGATTCCGGCGGTGAAAATCCAATTGGACACCACCAATGAAACCACCGTATCCAGATCTATAAAATCCCCATGTCCCCAGCAGCCGTCTCGTCGTCATTCGCCGGCCGAGAGTTCGTGTTCTTCGGCCGTTTTTCGATGAAGCGGTGGACGGTAAACGGTGAGCTGCCGTGGCTGGAAACGTTAGGGGTTTTGTAGGCGAGGATTGGAGGAGTCAAATGGTGGTGACAAGGGTGATTTTGGGTGGAAAAATCGCCAGAAAAAGAGCGAAAAAGTTTACCGGCGGTGGTCTGCTAACGTGCGCCGGAGGACTGTTACAGGCGGTGGTCTGCTAACGTGCGCCGGAGGACTGTTACAGGCGGTGGTCTGCTAACGTGCGCCGCCCATGTAAAATGACCAATTTACCCCTTTACCGTTATATCAAACGTTTTTCCGTCACTTTAAGGGTGGGAATCTGGAATAAATTGAACCTGTGGTACTCACTTGAGATTTCGTCAAACCTTGGGTGGCAAGATGTCGTTTACTCATGATGGAATAATGAGAAACGGGGAGTTGAAAAACTTACACAATCTGATACATATTCCAGAGAACAGAGTAGGAGTGGTAACCTTTGGTTGGGACAAACCAAAGGTAAATCCTTTGTTCTCTGTTACCCTGACCCCCGGTGAAGACATTTGTCTGCAAAATGTATGGCTGGCCGGTTCTGTTTCCCAAGAACTCAAAATCTATTTCATCATGCTCTGAGTTTTGAGAAGAAAGCTGCAATTGATGATACACAACACAAGATTAATATAAACCATAAATGCTTTGTTTAAAAGAAGATAAAATAAAACAAAAACAAAACTTACATAAAAAGCAGTAACAGTTCCTGCAGAATCCCCAGGAACCAGTTTGATTTGCATACTGAAGTGACCAAACAACTGAACAAGTAAGATCCTTTGGATTGGAAGCCAGTACCTTTATTTCCAAGTTCACATTTTTCAAATGTTAAAATAAACATTAATCAACAAGTCTTCAATGAAATGAAAATTACAAATTGAAGCATACCAGTGTATTTGTCAAGGAGAAGCTGAATCTCAGAGCTGCCATTGAAGTACTTAATGTGATCAAAAGCCCAAGTGGGCGCGTAGTTTCTGCCAAATGGGACATCCATAGGCCTTCTTGGGGGAGCTCCCATTGCCGCTGACACCATAAACGAGATGCCCAGAAGCAGAAACCAAAAGAAGGAAGCCATTATTTCTGCAGAAACACAAAGCATTTTGACTAGTTTAGTTTCTAGAAGAGAAAAAGTAGTAGCAAAAGAAAGAAACGTATGATCTTTGCAGGGTCAAGAGCTTACAGTAGAGAGAGAGAGAAGAAGAAATAGGTCCCGTTGTTGCAACAGCCAACCCGTGGGTCAACCCGGCAGGTTGGCGATCCTTTCTCAAAAAGGACAAAATAGCAACCCGCGGGTCGCTGGGTTGCCATATATCAACCCGGCCTACCCGGGGGTTGCACGCGGGTTGGGTTCAACCCGGCCTGCCTTATTGGCGGTCCGGGTTGAACCCTCTTTAATGCGGGCCAGGTTAGGGTTGACCCTCCTAACCCGGCCCATTTGTTCCATCACTAATGCTGACAAGACTCCATGTTAGCCTTACTTTTCCAAGCATAACGGAAGTCCCCTAATTTTTAAGGTTTGAGAATCGAACCTTGAGAACTTTATAATTATGCCTTAATTTGACAAGTTTCGAATGACGCCCGATTGACCTGACCTGGCTATGAGGAGGTCGCGAGACATTTCCACATAGGCGACCTGAAATGGTCTCCTTCTGCAAGATCTACGACTTGAACCATACTTTATTTAGTGCCGTATTAATGCGCCTCTTATCTTGACCAAAGTCAGCGACTTGGTTATACTTAGCGTATTTTTTGCTGAAGGCGAGGAGTCACATCGTTTCACGACGGACTGTTGCATCGCTTCGCAACAGTCATGCGACGAAGAGTGTTTTATCTAATGACCTCTTCAGATGTTATCCGTTGCGCTTTGGCAGCTAATCCATTAATGAAATACCTTTTGCTCTAACAAACGTGTCCTATGCGCAATAAGTGTCAGCCATGCGCATTAAATGTAAGCCATGCTGAAACGACATTCCTTATCAGAGCATTAAATGCGGATGAGAGCGCATTTAATGTGGAGGAGGGAAACGAGCCGTCGCTCGATTATTTCAACGGAGGGAAGCGACAATTTGATTTCTCGAAGCGTGAAGGTTACTCTTTCTCGTTGATTGATGACACGTGGCCGCGATCAATGGCTAGAGATGATTTCCGTCCAAATGTCACTTGGCTTTGGGAAAACCAAGCGCCACTTCCTTCACTATAAAATCCTAGGCTCTCCTTAAGCAATGTCACAATACTCACTTTTTTAGAAAGAGCAAGAAGCTTTCGTGAGACTAGATTTTCCATCTCTTAGATTGGTGCGCACTTGACGTTTCACAGCAGGAAGTTCAATCTTCATATTCAAGAGGTAAGGATGACTCTTTCATTATTTTCCTTTTTCTGTTTTGATGATAACCATGTGATAACGATGGACGTTTGCGGATGGTTGATCGGAGAAGAGGCTTTCCCCTAGGGTTTGAATCTTTGGGGGTGGCCCCCAAGGATCCTTAGGTTTTTTATAGGGTTTAAAGAAGACAGTGTTTATCTTTTCTTCCATGTCATCGTACAAAACTTTGTACGAAGACTGAGTGATTCTTGCGTGTCGCTCTTTTTCAGATCGTAGAAGAAATGGACCCTTCAGCGACCCGAACAGACCAGGGAACGAGCTTGCTGGTGCAGGATGCCCCAGCGTGTCCCTCACAGGAAATCTTGTCAATAGCCACAGTAGAGGAAATTCAAAAAGCGTAGACCAATATGCGATTAGTGTAGATGTCTACCAGTATAGGACGTATACAGCTCGGAGTCCGCCAAAGGGAATGGCTACGATCTCCGAGAACATCTTCAAATGTGGAGCACTGATCCCTTTCCACCCTTTTATAAGGTCGGTCCTCGATCACTTTGGGATTGCACCGTTACAGTTGACGCCAAATGCGTATATGATAGCCGTGGTTATGTATATCGCATGCAGCGAGAATGGTCTCGACAAGCTGACCGCGCTAGAGCTTGGCTACTCGTATTATTTGAAGAAG